GGGGGGGTGGGTGTATGAGGATGCGGTCGGGCCGGACAGGGGGAGTCCCGGTCTCCTGGTCCCCCCTGGGCCGCAAGGGCCGCAGCCCGGCAGTCCCGGGTCACACACACGCACAGTCCCGCTCCATCCCTGCCCCGTTGAGATTTTTTTCTGCCCTCCCTTGAATTTCAGCCCTATTTGCAAGATAAGGGTGTCCCAGCAATACCGTCCAGATGTGGAGGAACTCTTAGGAAGGAGGAGGGAAATTTCTTTAAAATCCAGGAGAGGTTTTTAAGGGCAACCCCAGCCCCGCGCAGCCCACATTGGTTTTTACGGTCTTGCAGCAGAAAAATGGGGGGAAGGCGGTTTTCTAGGAAAACCTGACCCACACTAAACTACCCCACAAATTCGCTCGATCCCGTTAGCAGGGTGTTAACAACTACCCGGCGCTGCCGAACGGAGGGTGAGGGGTCTGTGCTGCGCTGCCCGGCGGCCGGAGCACGGGCTGCTGCTCTCGCCTCTCTCCTGACCATCTTAGCCGGGCTTATTCTGTGTTTCACAACCTTCAGGGTTTGAAATGGCTCTTGCGGTCATTACTATGATTTACTGAGGCTTTCCTCTAATTACCTCGCCCTCGAGCTATTAAATGCATGTAAGCAGCTCCTCGAGGACCCTGGTGCAGTTCCCCGGAGCCCAGTCCCGTTTCTACCCGCCCCGTCCGGGGCCTGGGGCAGAACGGAGCAGGGACACCAGGCCGTGCCCCCCAAACCCTGCTCCCCCCCCACTTCGGATATGATTTTCCGATCCTTATTACCAGCTAGCCCCGGCCTTGCCTTGGCGGGGGGAGGGGACACACGGATCCTCGCCGGGTGCAGCCCTGGTGAGACCCCGCTGGGCTCTCGTTCCCACCGGGAGCGGAGCATCTCCGGCAGTTCCGGTGCCTGCGCCGGGGCCGTGGCCGGGCGAGGTGCGGGCTCAGAGGCTGAGCGGCCTCGGGACACGGCTGGGCCGCTCCAGAGCAAAGCGGAGTGGTCATTTCCCTACCCAGTTTGGCCGGAGCGAAGAGGAGAAGGGATTTATTTCAGCCCCGTCGGGGACAGCAAGGAAAGGCGGCCCTGGCGCTCTGAGCCTGTTTTAAAAGTCAAATCGCTTCGGGTGCTGAAGCTCGTCCACCTCCCCGGGAACAAAGCGCTGCCCTGGGCCTACCCCCCCTGCCACCTCCCTGCCTTGGGTTTTGGAGCAGGGAGGGGGGAAACCCAACCAGATCTTCCCCTTCTCAAATATATGGGGGGCTTCCCCCCGGCGGGGACCGGGAGCGGCTGCAAAGGCAGAGAAGACCCGGGTTGAAATAATCAGGAGCGATTTATTCCCCTGGAGTGACAGTTCTTTTGAGCAGTTGCCGAATGGCAGTTTCTGTCTTTCTGAAAGCTTTTCTTCCAGATTCTGTTCAGATTAGGCTGGGGAGATGAATGAGGCCATTATCCAGCCCAGTAGCTATTCTGAAATGCCAAATTAATTACCAAGGGCTAAATCAAGGCGATGGGGGCTGGAGGGGAAAGGGGGGCTGCAGTTGGAGGTGTGAAAATATCTCCACGATCTTTAAAATCTGAGCACCGGGGTCGGCCCGGGGGTGTCGCCGTCTTCTCCCCCCCACCCCGCCCTCCACTTCACTCCGCAGGTGCGGGGGGCAGCGGGCAAGGAGACCCCGCGGGGTCCCGCTCGTGTTCCTCCCTCCCCGACCGCCGGCTGCCGCATCTCTGAACTTCCGGCGGGGCGAGGGGCGCAGGGGGCGCCGGGCCCGCGGG